CCCCCCCCCCCCACTGAAGTTGCACTGACTGTCTTTTATCGTACTCCTTCTCTATTATATTTGTATCAATCACACTGGCCTTGGACTCCTCCTATCTCGGCACGACACTATGCTACTACTACCTCTACTTCTACTACTACTACTACTTCTACTACTACTACTACTACTACCACTCAAAACTCCGATTGTTCGGCATACCGCAACCCCCGTAAAGTCGCAGCCAAAGTCGTTGTCCAAAAAAAGAATGGTAAGTCCCCGAGAGAGCCGACGACTTACTTGACGCCAGATTTTTTCTTTTTTCTCGAAGCGTGCCAAAAGTAACCCAACGGATTTTTTCTTTTTGTATTACGATATATTTGTGATATATATCTTAATCTCTTAACTCTATCTCTTACTCTCTCACTCACTCTCTATCTCTCTCTCTCTCTCTCTCTCTCTTTTCTTACTATCTTTCTATTTATTTTTGTCAGTGTTCTCTCTTGCGTTTCGGTTCCTTCCTGTTTTATGTTTCTTCCTTTCATCGCGCGGATGCGCTTCGTGACGCGTTCTGCTGAATCCAAATACGTTGCATAATAATATCTGTAGTCATGCGTTTCTTGTTCATAGTGATGTAGATAGACAAAAGAAGCAATGCACGGTCTCGCTGTTGCAATTTCCTCATTACATTAACTGGCATCTTTCATCCGATATTAACGTCGTAACGTACAATTATCTGTTTGCTAATCAATTTTTTCTTTTTTTTTCCTCATTGTTGTTCAAGTCGACGTTCTTGTGTATATGTGTGCGCGTGTGTCACCGTGATCGATATTTGTCCGATAAACGAGTCCGGGGACCACTGGCAATCGCGCACGCAAAAATTGAACACCATCGTGGGGGGACGCTTTTTAAGAGTCTCGGATAGATCTGTTCTCCGATAAAGACACCACACGTCGAAGCTCGCATGTTGCGCAACGTCTTCTCAACGAACAATAGTAACAGTAGAACGACGTCGGCACGAACCATTCCACGCGGGAATATTATTTTCTCGTCTGTTGAGTTGATCTCTCTTCGTTCCTGTATATTTCTCTCTCTCTCTCTCTCTCTCCGTCTACCTATAACTTACATATATTTCTATCTTCGTCATCATCTCTGTTTTACTTCCTTTAAACGTGCTGTACAATCGTTTTCGGACTTTGGATTTTGAGCTAATATTAATTCGTCCATTAATCGTTAGACAATACTTTTTAATGCAGTTTTTTTTTTTTTTCATTTTATCTTCTCATTTCCTACGTTTTACGAATCGACTTCCGTTGTGTTTCACATTGCCGCCTATGTACCACACATACCTCCCTGTTATTTTACTCACACGCTGAATTAACACGGTGACCTCTCACCTCGCCCCCTTACCTCTCTCTCTCACTTTCTCCCTCTCCCTCACTTTTTCTTTCTTTCTCTCTTTCTCCTTGTTTCTCCGCATCAACCGTTTTGTCACCTCTGTTAAGCATTCTCCGCCTGCTTTTCTTGCGTTTCTCGTCGATGATCGAACGAACACACCACAAATCAGTGCGTCACGCGCGTTACACGAAATACGAGTTCTTTTCTCTCCACCTCGAGACTGCTCTTTTTTTTGTCGGCCAAGAGGGCGAGAAAATTGCCGTTCGTATCAACTTGTGAAAAACATCGGAAACGTTCCGGAACGAGCCGGTTAGAGCAAAAGAGACCACGCGAGACGCGGATTCCAACGCTCTTCGGATTTCGCGCTTTTCTTCCCACCGCCTACGTGTGCTCTCAAATCCAAAATAACGTCACACGCAAATGCGCACCACGGAAAATACGGTCGTTTCTCTACGCGATGCGCGCGCGACTCGAAAGACCCCGTCGCCTACAATAACAGCAGATTTACGCGAATTTATGCCCGCCTCGAAAAGAGCTTCATAAAGCTCGACGGGATTAGTCGGGAAAGTTCACTGAACATATACATCCCATTCGACCACTCATTTTCTTTCTACTGTCTCTTTATCTCTTTCTCTCTCTCTCTCTCTCTTTCTTTCTTTCTCTCTATTTGTCTATGTATGTGTTTCTACCCTCAACCTCCTCTCACCGACCCCTCTCTGTCGCTCGTTCTGGGATTTAGCCGACGCATTTCCGCATTGCATTCGTTATGGCGTTCGCGACACGGTTTTACGACTTCGAAACCGTCTTCCTCCTCTTCCTCCTCTTCCTCCTCCTCTTCTTCTTCCTCATATTCCGCCTGTCCCCAGCAGCACCTAAAACCGCCCCGGTCCCCGCCTCGTTTGAGTTTCGCTCGTTTGACTTGAGTTCGGTTTATTTGCGCACTTTACGATGCAGCGCGAGATATCTCGCTCTTGTGTGTGTGTGTGTATGTGTATGCGCGCGTGTGAGTGTGTTGTGAGTGTGCGAGTGCCGTGTGTACGTGTGGGATATGTGTGTGTGTGTGTGTGTGCGCTTGCCCGTTCTCTTTAACAACGTCCAGAGCGAACATTGGGTGTATTCCACTAACAACGCTTCCGGTTTTACGAGCGCGGCCAGCTGCGCCCGGACCACGTCCGGCGATACGTCCACCGAGATCCCGCCTAGCTCGGGTCGCGCCGATGGTGCACCGGGAGAGTGATCTCAAGGCCCATCGGTAGTAGTAGCTTTGCATAGCCGAAGAACAATATCCGTCGGTTCGCTCGGAAAGCGCGTATTCAAATTCGCGGCGTACGTATGTACGGGAGGCCGGTCTCACTGTCGAAACGCCAGGAATTCATTTCCATTCGGGCACTATCGTATTTCCTAAGGGCGAAACGCGAATTTAATTCAACGGATCTCCAGATATCCACCTAGCCACCGATCGTCGCCGACGACACTTTGCCCCCCCCCC